CCGTGAATAAGGAACAGTGGCTAGCCAGCCTTTTCCGGACAGCTGGAATGCCTATCCAAATCTCTTTCCAAGGACAGTCTACTAAGCCATCTCAACCACCTCTGAGTGAGAGCACACTGCTTCTTCTAGATCTACATGAGTAGAATGTAACTATTGCTCTGCCATCGTCGCGGGAAGTGAGCCAGCTAGCGCAGAACTCATGCTTTCTCAACTGCATTGAATTCGGGATCATTGGAAGCTGTTCTTAACTTTATGCCTGTTCCTTTGATCCTAGAATACTCACTGACTGATCTTTATAGTGAAGTTCAGCTGGGATTTCAAGCTAGTCGGTATACATCCAAGACCTCTTTCCGTCGGGAATTGCTGAGAAAAGTCTTCACCTGGACTTTGGTAAGAATTGAAGAGTGTTATCTCTTTTCCAGACTCCTGGCTTTTCAATGGGTGAATCCTGCATAAGCTTTCCGAACTGTGTAGAGTGCTCGTTTCGTATTGCACACTCTCGGCACGAGAGATCCTATATGCCGAAGAACGGAAATGCTAAGTCTCCCTTGTCCTTCCCGGAATGCTATCAGTCAGTCCAGGCCAAGGGGTAGAAAGGCTTTTGCAAAACCAGTGCATAAAGGGCAATCTCGCAAGCTTCAAGCTTCAGTCCTGTATTGAAGGCTGGTTTTGAGGCACGAAGTGCTGTAGTGGACTGCCTAGATTGGTCTGAAGAATGGATCGTAATACAGTCCGAGGATCAGGACGCGAAAGAATCAAGATGATAGAACTTGCACAATAACCCCCCCGCCCACTATTTTAATATTGCTTTTTTGATCCTCCCTCCACAGGGCAATCAATGAAGAGAAAACTCCTGCATGGCCATCCATGTACTCGAAGAATCCTATCGTTCTCTAGTGCTGAGTTGAGAGATTTCCCTTGAGAGTAACGAAGTTTAAAGAAGTCAAACAAAAATCAGTTATATTATGCAATGAGGCTAGATTCTGTCTTTGTTTCCCTTATTTTCCTTTAAGTCCTTTCGCTGCTAACTAAGGATGCATATTGCTTTTCTTTCAGGGAGCTGGATTATCGACGCTGATAAAGATCAAGATTGGACCATAGCAGAGTTCAGATAGAATCACATTGCAATGAAAGAAGGACTTTCACTACCATTTTCATAAGCAAAGCGCACTCAAGAGAGGTCAAGTCGATCAGGAAGCCAGCTCAATCGCCGGTATTGATCTTTTCATTATTATTATTATTATTATTATTATTGCCTAGTAGTATGCAATATTAGATAACTATCCTCATTGATAATGAAAAAAGATTTATCATAAAGCTATCACACACACATATGTATTAGGAATAAACTTGAGCTACAGCAGAAAAGGAGAGAAAATTCAGTAATGATTCATAATCATATGCAAATCAATATTTATTCCTTTCACTCTATAACAACGAAAAAAATGAAAATATGAGTATGGTTGTACTGCAAATCCCCTCAATAAGGAAACAAATCAAGAGTAAATGAAAATCTAATCTTATTTTATGTCATCTTCTCACTTTCTTTATGCTTCTCCCCTAAAACCATTATAGAACAAAAGAAAAGTGTCGAGATTGTAGATAAACTATGAAAGAAATTTTCAATGTTCTTTGATATGCTAAGTGAAAGAAAAAATGAAAGAGAACAATTTACGTTGCTTTGAAAAGAAAAATTCATTCGTCACAAGGACACTGCCGAAAGTATATAAACAACAATTTTCTATGAGCTTTCTATTAATCTTCATTTGCATCTTGAAATAAAACAACATATAGAGAAATAGAAGTTGATTCAGCAACAATACAATAATATATTTGGAAATAAAAAAAAAGAAACAAAAAGAAAATAACGCAAAACTACGAAAACAAAAAATAGAGAAATAATATGTAGTCAACTAATAAATTAAGATGTGTGTAATCGAATTGGTTAGATGCTTTACAACCTCAACTTGCTCATATAGATAAAAAAGAAATTCAAAAGTTTTAAAATTATATATTTTTGAATTTCAAACCAAGTAAAAATAAGTTTTAAATACTAAAAAGATATTTATAAGATATATTTTGTTATCTTAACCAATTATAAATATATATATTGAATAAAAAATTATTTTCCTAACTAATTATTTATCCATGGAAAACTAAAAAAATAAGATAAAAAAAACTCAAAAATTTATTAAAAAAAAGAGAAATAAGAATACTGGAAGCAGAGAATATCAAATCAGTTTTGCAGAGATATTTTTTTATTTGGGATTATATATATATATATACTCCCTCCATTCACTAAATAACAACAAATAAACACTTTACTTTGTTCCATTTAAGTGCTCATTTAGGATTTTGAGAGCAGATTAATAGTTTTTTTTCTATTTTACCCATATTTATTAGGGGTAATTTATTTGTATGCATATATTTAATTTTCTCTTTTTTATTAAATTAAAATTTTGACTATACACATAACTAAAAATTTTTCATTATATCAAGACATGGAAAAAATGAGATAGAAGTACTATAATTGTGGTGCTTTAATATAAGATAAAATTAGCGTTGGTTTTGTAGTAAATTAAATGTGGAGTTTTTATACTCATAAAAAAAATGTGGAGTTTTTAACTTTAAGAAGGGAATTTAAGCTTTCTACTATTTATTTTTAGAAAATTAATATGTGCCAATCATTTTCTTAATTATTGTGAAAGGATGAAATATTACTATTAAAGTAAAACAGAGAGAGTATTTTCAATTTGACATGTTATAACAGTATCGAATAGGTATTTAGTTCGACATATAACTTATATTTAAGTGATAATTTAATAGGTATAAACTGCAGCTATCGAGCTATTTCTTTTGTTAATTTTCTGAAACAAATAATTTAGTTAACTCTAAATGAATGCTACATATGTTTATATATATTGGTCAGGTTTAGACATTTTCTATTGTACATAAAATATATGTCTCCTAAGCATATTATATTGCAAGTTGTGACTATGTAAACTCTAATTATTGACTCTAACTGTGTTTATATATATATATATATATATAGAGAGAGAGGTTAGCTTTAAACAATTTGTATTGTACATATATGTCTCTTATGCATATTATATTAGTTGTGACAATTTGTGTTGTACATTTTGTATTGTGTTGTACATATATGTCTCTTATGCAAATTAATATGAAATCTAGGTATCAACTTGTTTCTTTCGTTGATTTTCTATTACGAATAATTTTTGTTGACTCTAATTGATTGCTACATGCATGTATTGGTTATTAGACAAATTTTTATTGCACATAAAATATGTTCGTTATGCATATTATATTGCAAGCTATGAGTATAGAATATTATCTCTAGGTATCAATCTCTTTCTTTTGTTAATTTTTTTTTGTCACAAGTAATTTAGTTAATCTATATATATATATATATAGACAATTTCTATTATATATATAAACAATTTCTATTATGCAGAAAATGTCTCTTATTCATATTATATTGCAAGTTATGAGTAGAATATAAACTCTAGATATTTCTTTCATTGATTTTTTTGTTACAGATAATCTATTTAACTGTAAGTGAGGAGTACATGTTTGTATGTATGTTGTAAATATTATGATTTTTTATTTTCAAAACCTTTTCTATCAAATTGAGCTTAAATCTTGAATCAAAATTAAAAACCTTAAATTGAAAATTGACTATTGTAATTGTATGTTATATTTAATTATTACTTGATTATATAATTATATTTGTTTTGGGTAAATTTGCTTTCAAATTTGAGTCATAGGATGTATTTGGACTTAATTAATTCAAAATTAGATGTTGAAAGACAAGTTAGATAAAAAAAATAAAAACAAAAAGAAGTTATTGGACTACTGAAAATTTAAAAAAAAAAAGTCTTATTTCTGCCATTAAATGAAAATATAACGGACTAAATAATAAAATGTGAAGACTAAACTGCTAAATATTATAGAATATTCTGATTGGTTTTCTCACTTACGTGAAAAGTGAGAAGTCTCGAGTTTGAGCACTCTCGATCATAAGTGTTTTCACAAATTTAGTGAATCTATAGGATATTATAGGATGTAACTCATATATAGCCCATTGAAGCTCCTATGTGTCAATATATATATATATAGCCCATTTGAAGCTACTATGTGTCAATAATATATATATATATATATATGATATATGGTTAATTCAACTATATGTTAATCCTAATTCAAGAAAGAAAAATCTTGAAAACTAGATTATCATGGATTATCATAATTTTAATAATTTTAGTTTAATATCTTATACATAAACTTATACCATAATTAATTGTAAGCAACCTAACTTGCAAAGTTGAAAATGTAAGTCTTTTATGATTATTTTTTATTTTCTTCAAATTTCGAAATTTCTTTATTGTTTAGGAATGAGATCCCTCCTTCATTTTATAATTATATATTATTATCATGTTGTTTATTTATTTATTTATTTATTTTGAGTATTGGGGAGGGAGATTCAAACCTGAATCTATTATCAGGTCATATATACACTTATTACTAGGTCATGCCTTAGTGTGCTTGTTTATTTAACTTAATCTATTTAATCTATATAATTATTTTAATTCAACCTGTATTTGTTGTCCCATTAATCTTTGTATCAGATTCTATTTCATTTGTATGATTGCAGTGATTATATTCACAATCACATATAAACACAATTCATAGAAAAGTAATTTATTGTTAATTAGAAGTTTTATGTAAATAACTCAACTTGTATTATCTTAATAACTTAAATATTTTAAAGTAGGAGTACATAAAACGAGTGCAAACAATAACCCATTAAACAAACATCAATTCCATATTTGTTCAGAGACCAACACTCCTTATGGATATATATGTGTGTATTCAGCCAACATCTTATTTTAATTTAACTATTTTAAACTACGAATACCAAAAACGAGTACAAACAATATAAAAAAACACCAATTCCATATTTATTCAGAGACCAACGCAGCTTATGGATAGGTGTGTGTGTGAAAGGAGCTCAAAGGCCGGTATATGCTTTCAAAGAATGGTGCTGCTTTATATGCTTTCAAAGAATGGTGCTGCTTGTGACCTTCAGGGGTACCAAAGAAATGAAGCAGACCAATGTGATCGAAGGGTTTATACATTAATGGATGATCATCATCAACAAATTCTTCTGGCACTTGCATTATTCCTTTGACAAATGAGAATAGGCCAACTGAGAGTCTTTTCTCCTTACTTTTTATTGTCACTCTATGATCACAACCATCAATCCTATCATTGCTCCATCCCTATCATCAAATTCAAACACTCATCACAACTAATTGATTTATATAATACTCATTCCGTCAAATAATTTTTATCCTGATTTAATTTGCATATAAATTAAGAAAATTTAGTTAACATGATTAAACTATAATTTTTACTTTGTTTTTTTTCTAATATACCCTTATTTTAATATCCATTTGAAATTAAACGATCCATATTAAATCGTTCTTGAATACTAAATATCGTCTTTTATCAAATTTATTAAATGGCCTCTAGAATTATGATGCAATTTATTAATATAAAATATAGTTCGATAGTTACTGAAACTTTTAGTCCCTTACCATGATTCCTTCGCCTGCCAAGACTAAAAAATCTGAAGAAGCTAAGTGAACATCAAGCCACTCTCCATTCTTTGGTTTAATTTGCAAAGCACTAACATCATTCTGATGAAGTATGGTAAGGAAACTTTTGTCCATATGAGGGTGCAATCCCTGTTTGGTTTCATTTTCTTGAGGAACTATATAGTTCAAAAATCGGGAAAAGTAAGTGGTTGATTCCATATGGGACTCATAGTACTTCTCCATCCCATAACCATCGAAGATCATCTTCACCACCATTTTATGTAGCTCTTCCACTGTCTTTGTGTATGAATGAACAATTTTGCTATCAAATAAAACAGAAAATAATTAAATTTTGAAAAATATTAGAACCGAAGCTAGCTAAAAATTAAAAAAATCTCACCAGAAATTATTATTGCCATTAGGCCACATGGTTTTTGTGAAATCTTGAATTCCTTCGAGAGTTTCTGCACGAGTGATTGCCATGGATTCATAAACAGCTACGAAGCATCCATACTCCTCTAGTGCTTTCAAAACATCCTTGCATTTGCTCACCCAACCACTAGTTCCTGCAGCCTCCAAGTTTTCACTTGCGAAGTCTATCACAGGAAGCTTGGAGTTGGACAAAGAACCCATAGATAAAATTATAAAATTATATTATGATGAAGGATAGAACAAAATAGAGAGGAAAAACCCTACTTTTTGTGATTCTCAAAGCTCTTTGTAGTCTTAGTATTTATAGACTAAATCCTAAATTAAATAATATGAAATAATTAAGAATCCAAGGACTTGGAATAAATAAAAATAGTCTTCCTATTAATATTGATCGAGCCATTAAAAAACAATTACCTTACGGTTCACTAGAGAAGCAAGCCACACATGAATACGAAGCTTGCCTTGAGCCAAGCCACAATTTCCCATTCAGGACTAGTTTGGTTTAATGATTCATACCAACTAGTGGCTGATGGTTCATAGAAGTTAGCTGTTTATTGTTCGTGTTCAGTAAAATTTAGTAGTGGTTACTGTTAAAATATAAATGATTATTATAAATGTAACTATTTTTATATATTATGATGTACAAGTATATACTTCATCTGTTTTCTTTATTTACAAAAAATTTCCTTTTTAGGTGTATTTTTTATATAAAGAATTTTACTCAAAATAGTATTATATAAAGAATTTTACTCAAAATAGTAATTTTGAGATGCAAGCCAAGTTTAAAAAACTAGAATGTCATTGGGAGTGTATGTGTTTGTTTTAAGATTGAAGCCCAACAATGAAGGAAAGTGGCATACAAAAATATTATTCTCAGCATTTAATGTACACGTGTTTCAAAGGACAAGTTATCAACTCACCTTTTCATTTCATTTTAAAGTAATAGCGGTCATTTTTATAATTTGGCCACAAAATTAAAGTTCTGATATTAAAAGTCAAAATAATGGCATGTAAACATAAAGTTAACCCTTATTTGTATGTTTGATGAATATATGTTGAATATATGTCCACTTTTATCAAAAATTGTAAATTTAGAGCCACAACTGTTGACGTTAGGAACGAATATATGTTATGCTCAGTTAAGTTTTGAAAAACAGTCACGTTTTATTTTTAAAAGGTGCCAATATGTTATGCTCAGTTAAGTTTTGAAAACAGTCACGTTTTATTTTTAAAAGTGCAGGTGTGTTTTGATTAATGACAAAAGAGGGAAATTAGAGTTTGTTTGTAGTACTTATGCACTTTTTCAATAGTTTTGGTTTCTCTGTGTTAATTAACAGTTGTCAACTTATGGAAGCCACTTCCATTTTGTGGCATTGTTATTAATAATTATGCACTTTTTCAGTGGTTTTTGTTTCTCTGTGTCAATTAATGGTTGTGAACTTCTCTAAATTTGTAGCCTTTTTTATTATTAATCTTGCAATTTTGTAAACCATTTTGTGGCCTTATTATTATTAGTTTTGTAATTTTTTAATAGTTATTGTTTTCTGTATTACGTAACGGTTGTGAACTTTTGTAAGCCACTTTATGACCTTTGTTGTTGATCTTGCACTTTTTTAAAATACAGTAATTTTTTTTTTTCAAATCCTTGTTATGGTTGAATTCTTTTGTAAGTCATTTTATGGCCTTCTATTAATACTTAATAGTAGTTGTGAACTATTGTAAGTTATTTTGTGACCTTATTATGATCAGTTGTGCACTTTTTCAAATCATTATAATGATTGTATTCTTTTGCAATCCACTTTGTAGTCTTATTATTATTTGTTGTACACTTTTCAAAATGTGAATTTGCCAAACATTTTGTTAGATTGTACATTTTTTAAAAAACTTATCACTTCAAACTCATACTAAAACTAGTTTAGTACTCACCTTCAAATTAAAACTTGTCAAGAGGTCAAATACAGTAATTATCATTTTTAAGAAAGGCATAAGTATATGAATATAAATTAATAAGACAAAATAAAAAGATTAAAAATTGAGAAAATAATTAATCTCATTAATTTAGATCAGATCAAGGAAACTTGGATAAAAAAACGAAAAAACAAAAATACATATTTAAAGAACAAACTCTTAAAACTAAATGTAGCTAACCATTTGAAGACATAAGTTTAGAATCTATCAATTTTTTTCGTTTTTTGAGTAGGTATTATATAAAACGTCCACATTCTAATAAAATTTGATAGAGTGAATAAAGAAAGTTTAAAGTGACGCTCAAATGATGCAAGTAGGTAATAAATATACTTCTTGGAACTGCCTTTTGTATCGTCTATTTTTTCCATAATTAATGAAGAAATGAAGGACATTAAAATTTCATTTAACTAACTTTCTTAATTCAAGAACTTTTTATGTTTTCTCTAAATAAAGAGAACAGAGAGAGTATATCTTTTTAACTTAATGTGAATATATTATTTTTTATTTTAGTGTATTACATAAATAAAAATATTAACTAATTTTTAAAATAATGTTTAAGAAAAATTTTAAATAAATTATATATGACATTCGGACCCTGCAAAGCAATCCTAATTTCCCCATATATGAAAAAGAGGAAAACTAATCATGAGATGTGTTTTTTGATGGAATAACCTAGAGAGTTGAAAGAACTCTGTTGTTAAACTTGGTGACCTCCTGGGAAGTTCCCCATTACACCTACGGGATAAAACCATGCGGATCTTGTCAATCAAGTATGGGATGGAATTAACTTAATACAAAGCGGATGATTCCTCTAGTGGTTGGAGTTGGGCATGATAATTTTATAGGAAACGTGTCAATTCATATCATAGGGCTTAAATTTGACTATTTGAATTTTATATTAATGATTTCAATTTTAAAATTGGATTTGTTTTAAGCCTTAATTTAGAAATGGGAGAAATTGATTTAATTTTGACTAAATTGATTTTTAATTGGACTATTGAAAATAAATTTAATTGATTTTGACTAATTAATTTAATTAGACTTGACCTATTTGGAATTGTTTTGTTTTAGCTGTGGAACGTAAAATTTAATTGTAAAGGTAGGTTTAAATTAATTTTTACTTGGTGAAAAAAAGAAAAACAGCCTTGCACGCCAATTTTTTGACTAATAGCTAAATAATTAATAAAAAAAAATTAAACTAAACCTAGCGAACTAATAGCTAAATAATTAATAAAAAAAAATTAAACTAAACCTAGCGCCTGCCAGAGGCGGAAAAAGGGAGCGCAATGGATACGAAAGCTTGCCGTGAGCCAACATTTTCCCAATTATTACTTTAAAACTTCCACTTTTTTTTTTTTTTTTTTTTTTTTTTTTTTTTTTTTTTTTAAGATATATGGGAGGCCCAACGGTGACAACTTTTTATGATAAAGATGATTCGAACTCGAGATCTTTAATTCACTGTACCTTTTACAAGAGGTAGGAAGACCAATCAAACTACACTTGATTGACACCTTGAACTTCATTTTCTATAATAATATCACTCCTTGTTACGTTAAAATGAGCTATTTTAAGATTATTGGCTTTTATATATAAAATATTATTATCATTTAATATGTGGTTTTTTAAAAAAAAATTAATTTGATATGTGGTTGATACGATTTTTGAAACAATGATTTATATGTTTTTTTAACTATTTAATAAGTATTTAATCGATATAATTTTATAAAGTGAGGTGCTTAATAAGCCAAGCTAAATATTTAATAAATTCAATTTTATAAGTTGAAGTATTTAATAGATCAAAATAAAAAATTAGGAGTGGCACATGGTAAATTTATATATTTATATATTTGAATTATGTTTGAAAAGTACATGGTTTTTTTATGAAACGTACAAGGATAAATTTATATATTTGAATTATGTTTGAATTATTTGCAAGTAAATTATGTTTGAATTTCATTTATTAACAAGTAATGCTTTTATATATATAAAAAATTTCCATTTCTTCTGCTCATTGCAAGCTTCTGAACAGAATTGCTACCATAATTTTTATTTTCTTGTTTTTTTCATTTTCTTTCTTTTGTGTATTGTAAATCAATTCAAAAATTTAGAACCAATTGCATGTATTCCAATTCAAAATAATAAAAAAATATATGTTACTTTCATATTAATTAAAGGTCAAAGGTCAAACTAATTAACTTTTATGTAGTCTGTGGATTTCGATTTACTTTTCATATTAATTAAAGGTCAAAGGTCAAACTAATTAACTTTTATGTAGTCTGTGGATTTCGATTTACTATTGTTAATTTACTCTTTCAACTTTATAAATTTAATTATAGATAGAGTCATTGATTTGATCAACTATAATTTATTGAAGGTTTATTTTACTTTTTAATTTTATAAATTTAATTATAAATTGAGTTATTAATGTGATCACTAGCCAAATGGTCAGCTACAGAATTAGTTTCGCGATAAACATGATGAAGAGAGAACTCCCAATCACGAACTAAAAAACTCTAAATATCCATGACAAGAGCTTTCAAAAGATGAGCAAGATGTAGATCAGAATGGACTAACCGTATAGCCTCTAAGTAGATATAGACAATTGAGAATCGATTTTGTTTAACCGCAGTAATACTTTAGAAAAAAAAACGTAAGCAATACTAGTAAATAGTTGGCTGTTGTATATTTTTTGAAAAAAACTTAACTATTCATTAATAATAAATATAAATTGAGTACATCATAATATTCATATAGAAATCAGTAATGTAAATATAAAAAATTGAAATCTTCTGTCTGGAGATATTTTTTATCTTGGCAAAAGAGGTTTAGCAATTATTAGAAAGAAAACTAATAAAAAAAAAAAAAGAGATGAAAAGAAACCACCGCCGATCAAAGAAACGGTCAATGGTAATTTAGAAAAAAAAATTAGAAGAACACAAAAAAGAGAGAGTCAGAGAGAAATGGCTAGAGCATTTTTCTTTTTTAATACAAAATGAATATTACGTGATACTGTTGATTAAGAAACCCAAAAAAAAAAAAAAACCCAAAAAAAAAAAAAATAAAAAAGCTGTTGTAGTTGATATATATATATATATATATATATATATATATATATATTTAATATATATATATATTATATAATAAATTGCATTGCTTGCTTCTGTGATACATGTGTATGCATATACGGTTGATTGTGTGGCATTTGATTGTCTTGAATTCGCAAAAATAAATTT